GCAATGAATCATCATCATCCTATCGCAGTCCACTGCTGGGCATAGGCCTCTCCCATTGCACGCCACTTCGATTTTCGGCTTCTCGCATCCAGCTCCTGCCAGCCATCTTGCGCAGATCGAATATTACAGCTTACTGCGTTAACTGACCTGTTCATAAGAGAGGTAGCGTGAACTTTAATAGCCATATAACCTTCCTAAATATCTTTTAATTGTGTTGACTTAGAAACTTCAAACATCTGATGTTAATTTCAACTTAAAAACCTTTGCCGAGAAATGACCAACAGACAAATAGATGGACGGACGGATCCTATAACCTTATAAATGAACGAAGCTTAAATTTCCAATCGTTTTTAGTTTTATTTCTTATATTTAAGCCTAGTCATAAAATTAGTGAGTCACTTGGCATTTACATTTTTATTTCCAATTCAAGTCCCAACAGACCGAAACAAGATTGTATGAATGTGCCTTCATGACCTAAATAAAATTAAAAGAAAAAAAACACATTTATCAAAAAGATTGATCGTATAATCCATAATTATTACGTTTTATTATGACGTAAAGATATCTGATAAAACGTGCATGTTGTACTTTTGACGATATGCTTCCTTGGAAGCAGTTTAGTGTATGAGGAAGCAAGAGGTGCTGGCGCTAGAGTTTTCACCATATAGAACCATGCTTCGCCATAAATGGATCGTTTCAACCGGAGTAATACCACGGCCTCACAGAAAACCCGATGTTTAACAATTTTTTCGTTACATTTCACATGGTGAAATGCAACGAAAAAATGCGAGTGCGAGTGCGAATATCGTGGAGCCCAAACCTCTCCTCCCTCTGATTCTGGGGAGGGCTAAAAAGGGTTCGTAAAAATTGAGTAGGTATCCACGGACGCCATACTTACCAACAGGTGACCCGTGAGATGCGAAGCCGAAAATTGATCAAAGCAATTGGAGGGGCCTATGTCCAGCAGTGAACTGCGATAGACTGATGATGTTGATGATGACCCGTCTTTTATGTAATAGATTCGTAGTAGTTCGCGTTGGTTGGCCTAGGAAGTAGGTATTGTGCTGTACATTATCGTTTCCATCGATAAAAAAGCTCGTTTTGTGCTATTCTAAAAAAGTTTCGGTTTCAGGTACTCGTAGGCATCAGTTGGAATAATCTTTGGGTTTTTATCTCTACGGAAAGAGCGTACTCCTTCCTAAAAAGCCGACAACGCGTTTGTGACTCCTGAGTTGCAGACGTTCATGGGCGGCGATGGTCACTTTCTATCACCCGTCTGCTCGTCTGCCCCCCCCCCCCTACAATATAAAAAAAATCAGACTATATTCTTAGAACGGGTTTAGTCAATATCCATAAACGAACGTTGGGGTTCAACGTGGGGGCTGGGGAAGATTTAAAGTAAATCATAAATGTGTCTATTTACCTACTTAAAATATTCCAGAAGAAATAAAATTCATTACCAAAACTTAATATGAAAATATAAGTTTTTAACAAAACTTTAGTTCATCATCATCGTATTTTTTACCTTAAGGCTTCAAGTTAGCATAGATACATATCGAACTCAGTACAAATCTTTTCAGAAACTTCGTATATTAATTGATAAGGCGCCGCTAATTTCGTCACAAAATTATTTATTATACGTTTTATCTATTATATATATTAACGAGACAATCGGCTTATGTCGTCTAAGATTATAATTATCTAAATAATTTTTTGTCTTAAATGCGTAAGTCTTTGAATAAGCTGAATATGTGTAAATAATTATTTTTTGTCAATTTATACAGTGACTCGTATTGTTTATTTAGTTTATATTGTTATTTTCCTCGTCCGGAATTTCTTAAATGGATTAACATATCACCTTGATGATGAAACACTTGGAATTATTTCAAACAATTTTGTAAAACTGAGATGTTTATAATTGTTACGTATTATTTTAATATGTATCTATGGAGATAACATTGTTTTCTTATCATCAAATTAACCTATTCAGTTTGTGTACGTAACTTAAAGGAATTAATTAAATTACATTACGAGTAAGATTACGCGTCTAACCACTTTTTTTTAAAACTAGTATTCTATGTTCTGATATTAAATACAAACTTCCATACTAATATTATACATGCGATACCTGTCTGCCTGTCTTTTACGTCTTCACGCTTAAACCGCTGAACTGATTTAGATGAAATTTGGTGTAGAAATAGTCCGAGTCCCCTGAAAGGACATAGGGTAGTTTTTATCCCAGAAATCATCCTTTAATGGGGTAAAAGTGGGATGGAAGTTTGAATGGGGTATCAATAACCGCTAAACCGATTTAGATGAAATTTGGTGTAGAAATAGTCCGAGTCCCTGGAAAGGACATAGGGTAGTTTTTATCCCAGAAATCATCCTTTGAAGGGGTAAAAGTGGGATGGAAGTTTGAATGGGGAATCAATAACCGCTAAACCGATTTAGATGAAATTTGGTATGGAGATAGTTTGATTCTTGAGGAAAGACATAGGCTTCTTTTTACCGCAGCAAAAAGTAGCCTATATTATATCTCAAGAATCAAAGTATCTCCATACCAAATTAAATTAAAATCGGTTGATCGGCTTAGCCGTGAAAGCGTAACAGACAGGTACTTTCGCATTAATAATAATAACAGGGATTTTAATTTTAAATGATTTCCTCTTCTAATAAATAGAGGGGATTTGTACGCTATTGAAAATGTATCAAATTAATTTATATTTTTTACGATTACGCGTAATTTGTAATTAGACGTAATCAATATCCGTGTTCAGACCATTTGTTTTGATTGAAGGACATTTTACAAACAGATAATTAGATAAGATAGAGCTGGACTCTGATTGTCTGGCGGCAGCCAGTTCGAATTATAGGTATACGACCTTGACCTGCTCAAGGTATTGCTAACACTCTTTTACCATCCCTTTTTACTTTATACCTTTCAACATAGGCCTAATTCATCATCAGCCTTTTTTTATATATGTAACGACATACATGAAACGGACACAAAGAACACCCAGACTCAGAACAACAATTTGTGGATCACACAAAGTGTCGTTCCGTGCACAGATGGCGTAATCGGCGTGGCGGCCGCTTAAACCACTGCGCCATCCGTGCAGCCTCTACTAGTCTTCTGCTGGACAGAAGCCTCTCCTTAAAAGGAGGTTTTGCCTACTATACCACGATGGCTAGACGGGTTGGTATAGGATTTCTTTCAAGTTTTCCTACTTTTTACAGTGCTGTTGTCCTGCGTAGTTTGCTACCTTAGTCGGCTCTTACGACACGCACGGAATGAATAGGGACGGTGACACTCCGTATTCTTAATCCTAACTATCCCACAAATATCATCAAATGCCGGGCACAGGCGTTTCTTGCATTTTATGCGGTTGGTGCAAGCCCGCCCTCTGTAAGAGCACGCAACACGAGCATACATCTGTTCTACACTAGTTTGGTTATTTTACTCATCTCCGGGGTCTGCACTCTTTATCTAGGCAGCGGTGGGACCCCTAAAGATGCGAAAATATTGTCCGGTTTACCGGTCTCTTACTTAAGTTGGACTAAAGTTATATTCGGCCAAATTTTTTGGGAGTTAAATGCAAAAATTGAGAGGATATTAAGAGATTTTTTTTTCAAGAATAAGAGATAGTATAGAGAAGGTAGGAAAAGATAATAGCTTATACAGATAAATTGGGGCATTTAAACAACTCCAGCAGGTCAAGGTCGAACATCTGTTACTCGAACTTCCATACAACCGTTCATACCTTATTTTACCCCCTTAGGTATGAAATTTCCAAAAAACTTTTCTGTTGGTGCTTGCAAACTTAAAAAGCATCAGTTGATAAAATTTCAAGTTTGTAGCTTAGGTTTAGGCTCTGCGTTGATGAATCATTTAGTCAGTGCCAGTAATTTTAAATAAAAAAAATATTTTTTTCAAATTTATTTTCTATTTTCTAGTTTGGTTTTCTATAGAAAGCGTGTTTTTTAGTTTTTTTAAACTATAATAATTTTTTAAAAAATTTTGTATTGTCATCGGTCGATACGAGTATATTCAGAAAGTTTGAACGAGTTCTGACCGTTTAAAGTCAGTCAAAATCACGCCCAAAGGAGTCGGTTACAAACATACAAACAAACATACAAGTGAAGCTAATATAAAGCGTGTAATATGTTCTAATTATTATGAATACACCTTTTAGTTCACTAAATATTAAAACTAATAACAACATACACACAAACTATGTGATATCTATACTATTATAATGAAAGTCGCTCGTTTAATTTTGGTCATATTAAATATTTGTTCACATAAAAGTTTCTTGATAATTTCTTATCAAAATCTTAACATGTTGTGAGGGACATACATCATCGTTCATCATCCAAATTGACGTACCACTGAACTAAATTTTGTAAGCCATTCTGTTTAGTTTTGTCATCGGGTTAGCATGTGTACATATATTTTATTAAAAATTTATATTAGTTCGAATTATATAACTATATTACGTAATAACGTCTAGTCAATGAAGTGAAGTGTTGGGATTTATAACTTAAATAAATAATCTATTTTAAAATTATTGTAACACGGTTACAATCGATCCGCTCTTCTGTTATTGAAAGGTGTTCCTTTTAAATTGTTATGTGCTTATTTTTAATATGTGTTTAATATAACTTGTGTTATACAAACTATTTTTTACTCGAAAAATTGATAACATTAAAAGAATACTAAAATAATGAATTAACAGAGCGCCTTGATTGACGTTATTCTATTAATTTCAGCGAAAAACAAACCAGTATTTTACAAAGTGACAGTGAACATATCAGTATTAATGAACAAACAGTGATATTAAATTAAATGTGTTTAGAGTACAGTGGACGATAAAAGTGATTATGTCAGTGAGGTGACGAGACGAGCGGCCTCTAGGCTGAGGTGACTGAACTACGGAAACATTCCCCTCCTAAAAATTTTAACCCAGGGCCCGGTGGATAGCAGCAAGGATATCTGCAAAATGACCAAGGGCCCTCGGAAAGTTAAGCTAGTCATTGTAGTCAACAATAAGAAAGAGTAAGTACCACTTCATTATCTTTAATAGTTCTATGTGATCATCATCATCAACAGGCTTTAATAGTCCACTGCTGGACATAGGCCTCTCCTTAGAAAGGAGGTTTTGACCTACTATACCACGCTGGCCAGACGGGTTGGTATAGGGTTTGTGTCAAGTATTCCTTCTTTTTGCAGTGTTGGTTTCCTGCGTTGTTTTGCGCCCTTAGTCGGCTCTTACGACGCCCACGGGATGAATTGGGGTAGTGACATTCCGTATTCTTAATCCGTCACGAAATTAACATCGATTGTTTAACTCTCTTATGAAGGACCTAAGTTACTGTTATTGAGTTAAGTAAAGAAAAACCATGGTTATTGATGTCACTGCCTTACAGAAAACCGCTGCTTTTCACAGAGTGAGTGAGGTTCCCGGAGCCCAACGTACCGTCTGGGGTGAATATTGATCAGGTGTCCATGGTCGATGGTAGTAACTTTATCAAGGCATCAATTCTGCTATTTCATGTTAACGTACAAGCCACTGTCATTCATGTGACACGCTTTTGAGATGCCATTGACATCGGTATTCTACTAACATAAATTCACAGTGTCAATAGACTGTGGATGTAGTGACAATGGCTCACTAATGGTGATATTAACAACATTTCTATATTATTTCCTTACAAATTAGAAATGTACCGTTTACCAAATTATTACAAAGACATCGACGACATTTGTATCAACTCAATTTGACAATTCATCGAGAGACCATTAGTCCTACATAGTTAGTAGAATACGAAAAGTGCAAAACTATTCCGATGACATTCCATCGACAGTCCATTGATACAATTTTAAAATAGCAGAATTGAGGCACTGGTAACAGGTCTGTCTCATATTTTATGAAAATAGGTCACTGTGTCTTACTTACTTCTAGTCTGACAGAACCGCATAGACCCTGACAAATATTCAGATTATTTATTAAGTCATCCAAGACCTTTAAATTTTATTTTGGTTTCTTTTGAGGAAACAAGTTTGCAGTGACTTTTTGTAACAAAACCTGTTTGCTAAAATCATCATCTTCCACATGTCAGAAATTGTTTTGTATGATAATTACTTTTATTAGAGTTAAGAAAGAAAATATACGACTCACAGTTTGTCCGAAAACACCAATTATCAAACTCAGGGTAACCTTGACCATCGCGAAGGAGACGGCGGAGCGGGACCTGGAGAGGTTTAGAACTCTCCCGGCCCGCCAGGCCCGGGAACGGGCCAGGTACCGCAGGCGACTCAGGCGCCGGAGGTCGCAAAATGACACCTCCGTCCTCCATAAGCGCAGGCCTGGGGGTGACAGGTGAGGCCATCTGTCACCCTAGCAGAAGCAGGCCGGGCAGCGCGCTCGCTTCCAGGGAGCAGAGGGAACATGGGGTTCCCACACTGGGGGGGTCGTCTACTCGTCTGTAGATGGCCCGAGGTATGTCGGGGCACCAGGGACTTCCTTTCTAGGGTATACCTGGTTCCCTGCTATTAGTACCCGAGACGGCGTGCGGTTTTAGTCGGTTCGAGTCCGACATGCCACCGATAAGTGGTATCCGAGGGGCTTTCCTCACGGAAAAAAAAAGAAGGGTAACCTTGACCAATTACGGTAGACAGGAAAGTTGACCGAAGTTTTTCAACAAATATCTGCTCATGCGCATACATACTAATCTTTCCTCCCGATATATTTTAGAAGAGAAGCCCAAAATCGATCTAAGTGGCGTGCAATGGGTGAGGCCCATGTCCAGCAGTGGACTGTGCGATAGGCTGATGATGATATTTTAAGAGGGTTCGGCTAACTTTTATTGTCTATATCAATATGTGATTACTATTATCAATGGAGTCCTTTTCTTTCCTAAATGATTAAATTATTTATTTGTTAATTATGTACTAGTTGTAACTATTATTTGGCCATCTTTTTGACCAATTTGGAGTTTTGGACTCTTGTACATTTACATGTTCTAATTCAGTGTAAGACCATCATCTTAAACGCAATGATATTCCTCGTACCGTTTGTTAATTCATGTCTTTAATGATTCTCGTGTTCTTAACATTACAAAAACCCTAAGAAATTTCAAATTGCAATACCCATTGTATTATATTATATTTCTTCCATAAATGCATTTCAATATAAATACATTGTAAGTAATACAAACAAATTAGTTTTGTGATACGTAACTGATACTTTAAGACTGAAATAGGTACCGAATTGTCAGATAATTTAGTGCAGGTACTGCCTATATTATGCCCCCAACACACAACACAAACAGCACCGTTTCTACATATTATATACTCCTTTCATTGCCATTTATGGCGTTAAAGGAATGCCTAGGTTCAGGAATACTTAACCTATATTCCACCCGTCACATTTAGCACAACATCCTGAGATGATGATGAAACTTTCACTTCCCAACTTTTTAAACTCATTTCACAGTTTGTTGTTAATTCTTCACGACTTTTTTGCGTACTTTAAGTCTTTTAAATGGTTAATTACACAAAAAAAATAAACGACATACATTAATGATGTCCGCCAAGGTTGACCACCTTGGCGGACATCATCACGCCGGATGCCTTTAATTTTCCACCTATTATCTTGTACATTTAAGATGATTTTCCGATAACATTTGCATATAATCGTCTTCTCCGTTCATTCATGATTTCCATTCAAGTGTCGTGTATCTCGGATGTTTGTAAATATAGTAAACGGGCCTTTAATGTAGCTGATGGTATGAAGTTCGAAGGTCTTAACGTCCACGACACTGGGTAGTTGAATCTATGGAAGTTTCTCCATCTACGGAACCACCGAACAATATTAATTTCAGACAAGTCTATTGGGTGGAAGTTAGTTTTTTTCACCTGATGGTAAGTGCCTACCGCCGCCCTTGAACGCCCTTGAACTTTAACATTATTATTTTTTATTAAATATATAATTTCTTTGTTGAATAAGGTATATTAACATATTACTGTTTCTTTTTCTTTAAAAAGACAACTCCCGCTCTAGGAATAAATCCTGTGTCGCGGGGACTTTACAAACATACATGAAACGGACACAAAGAACACCCAGACTCAGAACAACAATTTGTGGATCACACAAAGTGTCGTCCCATTTGGGGATCGGACCCACAACACTCAGCGTAGTAGTAAGCGGCGTGGCGACCGCTTAAACCACTACGCCATCCGTGCACCTATATGTCTAGATATAACATACCGCTTATTTTTATTCATCAATTCACTATTGATAGTGTAACAAAATAATTTATTGTACATATCTAGTGCATGTGTTATCATGAGGGCATTATGTGGGTCTAGGTTTCTTCAGGGTCGGTGCCCATAAACGGAACGAATTAGAAAAAAAACAATTGTGTGTCCTGGTTTTGTACGATTTGTGAGACAAGTGCTTAGTTAGTTTATGATTTGACTGCACGGATGGCGTATTGGTTTAAGCGGTCGCCTCGCCGGCTACTGCGCTGAGGCTTGTTGATTCGACCCCACATGGGACACTCCTTGGTGTGATTCACAAATTGTTGTTCTGAGTCTGGGTGGTTTTTGTGTCTGTTCCATGAATGTTTGTAAAGTCCCCCGAGACTGAGGATATATTCGTAAAACGGAAATTGTTCTTAATTCATACGTCACAGGAAAGACTTAACTAAATTGTGTCTACATAATGTATGTGTTTTGTGTAGTAATTTCACACACTTAAACAGCAGTATTACCCCTTTTGAATACAGTTTTTTTTTTTTAAATGAAGAGCTCATGCCAGCAAGTGCTTTAGGACCAAAAGGAAGCACTTACTTCAACAGATCTGCAGATATAGAGAAAGAAAGCTATGGAAGAGTGAAAATTAGAATATTTCCAATTTTTATTGACAAATTCGTGTATTTTTTAAATGTATACGTATGTAAATAGGTTAAGACTATCGCAAAGCTAATTAGTTATACATTATTTTAGATAACAACAATATATCAGATCTAAAATGTTGTGATTATTTCTATTATAATATATTTTCTGTGACGATAACACTCGGAATTATTCGTAAATATTAGGAAACCTTGAAAATATTGTGCTTTTATGTCACGACAAGTTATCAAGCGAACTCTTGAGGTTTTTATTTCATTAGGGTTGCCAATTTCAAAAGTCTTAGAATAATAGTCAAAACTTCACACATCTCACACACAATAGTCTGTTCCCAAAAAAATAAAATAAACATTAGGTTCAAAAGGTAAAAAAGAAGCCTTTATAAGATCTCTTTCTTGTCCGTCTGTCCGTGTGTCACCACCGATTTTCTCAGGAACGGCTAGCAAGTTGAAATTTGTACCAGATACTGAGGTCTATAGTCCGTATTTTGTGTATAAAAATCAAGGTCCTGAGGCAACACGATAAAAAGATATAGGCAAATTTCGATTTTCGCGAAAACTTGTGAGTACCAAAATGTACCTTAATTTTCAACTTTTTTATTTTTGAGAATTTTCTCTCTACTTGTGTGGTAATACCTTATTTTTAACCTAAATTGACAATTATAGGTCAACCGGAAGTACCCTATAGGTTGTGGGTCGAAAACCTATATGGTAGTTCCCGTTGTCCTAGAATCACGAAATTTAGCAAAAAGAAACGTCTTACAGCACAAATAAAGGAATAATTCCAAAAAGTAAAAATAAAAGTTTTGCGAAAATCTACGTAAAATCTAGTTAGGTACGGAACCCTCGGCGCACGAGTTCGACTCGTGCCTGACCGGTTTTTATACCAGAATTGCTAGGCTATACTTATACACTCCTATTACTCTTAACGAATGTGGCCATCCTTCAAAACGCAGGTAATGATCGGTCTGTACGCGGAAGTTGTAGAAGCGTCACGGCACGGCGAACATCACTCTCACGCGAGTGGTACTGTCCTTGGTTAGAGGAAGAGCCTCATTTACGATCTGAAGGTTACACCGTGAGAGCAAGGGCTTCTAGTGTAGCGTGAATTTGGCAAATACACACCACTATCAGTCTTTC